CGTGGAGCCTGATTAAAATTCTCTCTCTCCCTCTGCTCCTCCCCCGTCCCTCTCTCTTTCCCTCTCTAAAAAAGAATTTTTTAAAAATGCTTTAACCTTATTAGTAATCAGAGAAAAGTAAATTTTACACCCATGAAAATAAAAATTTAAAAGTCTGAAATGGGGCACCTGGGTGGCACAGTTGGTTAAGCGACTGCTTTTGGCTCAGGTCCTGATCCCGGGGTCCTGGGATCGAGTCCCACACTGGGCTCCCTTGCTCAGCGGGGAGCCTGCTTCTCCCTCTCCCTCTGCCTGCCACTCTCCCTGCTTGTGCTGTCTGTCAAATAAATAAATAAAATCTTTAAAAAAAAATAAAAGTCTGAAATGTGTATTAGCTATGATATGGAGCAATGGAAAATCAGAATCTGATTTCAGGAAAGTAAAATTGCATAATCATTTTGGAAAACAATGCTTTGAAGATCCCTACAAGGTTAAGGGCTAGTTGTCATGGGAGAAACCAAACAAGCCAGCTGGAAAAATGGTAGGTTGTAGTTAGAAAATGTCATGTTTGAATTCATGATTTAGGAAGCAGAGAAATTTGTGTGATGCCAAAAAGTACAAGTTGTGACCTTGCAAGTGGTTGGCGAAAGCGGAGGAGTGTTCACAGAGGATAACGAGGCCTGTCAGTCTGGGTCCAATCAGGACAGAGAAACCACAGAGGGATTTGAACAGGAAAAGTTTAACACAATTATTAACAGTAACAGGGGATTGACTAGTATGAAGGAAGTAGAACTCTAGAAGAGCATAGGCATATAGCAGGTACAATATGAACTAATACACACTGGTCACTTCCCTAGAGCCGTGAGAACCTCCCCTCTTCACCTACAGCTGAGGTCCACGCCTTATTACAGAAGTTGCCATGGGGCTGAGTCAGTGGAACTCGCTGGACATCTGCCCTCTAGAACTTGCCGAAAATGTGCCCTGGGAGGGTGCTTGTTTCCCCTTCACGGGGGAGGTGTCTCACCAGAGGTACTTTGCCATAGCACTGCCCCCCCAAAGGGTGCCAGGGGAAGCTGCTACCCACTGTGCACTGGAGGAAGCCAGTGTTGCAGAAGGGGAGCACTAAGAAAGCTGGGAGCTCGACAAGAGCCTGTGGAGTGAGCACACAGGAAACAGGAAGTAAAACCCCTTCCTGCAATGTCTACCACCAGCTACCCATAAAAGTTCATGTCCTGCCAGCTGGCAAAGTAAAAATGATTTAAAGGCCCAGGTCCATTTTCACAGAGCAGGCATAAAGAGGGGCTGGAGGTAATCCATCAGTCACAAATAGGGAAGTCAAGGAACTGAGCGGACACGACCCAGTTGTTGGCAGAAATTGGGGTGGAGTTGGGGCACCTGGGTGGCTCAGTTGGATAAACCTTCGGCTCAGGTCAAGATCCCAGAGTCCTGGATGGAGCCCCACATCTTGCTCCCTGCTCAGTGGGGAGCCCGCTTCTCCCTCTGCCCCTCCCCCTGCTTATGCATGCTCTCTCTCAAGTGAATAAAATCTTTAAAGATAAAAAAGAATTTGGGGTGGAGTGGAAGGTTATAAACCAACTTGTTTCTCCAAGTGTGACCTTGGTCCCCCTTATCAGAATCAAGTGGGGGTATTTATTTATTTTTATTTTATTTTATTTTTTAAAGATTTTATTTATTTATTTGGCAGAGAGAGACACAGCGAGAGAGGGAACACAAGCAGGGGGAATGGGAGAGGGGGAAGCAGGCTTCCCGCCGAGCGGGGAGCCCGATGCGGGGCTCGATCCCAGGACCCCGGGATCATGACCTGAGTCGAAGGCAGGCGCTTAACGACTGAGCCCCCCAGGCGCCCCTCAAGTGGGGTATTTAATAATATAGATTCCTTTGCCCCATTGCAGATCTTCTGAAGTAGGGTTCTGGGGACTAGGGCTGCCAAGTCTTCATTCTTTTCTCCGCCTTCCCTCACAAGAGGTGATTATTTTTGTACATTGTTCTTTGTAAATCACAGCTTTAGGCGATGGAGTGCCTTTGAGGGTTTTTGAGCAGGAGTATTACACGATCAAAGAGGTGTTTCTGGAGAATCAACCGAACTGTGCTCTGCCAGAGAGTCCATTAGGATGAGAGGACGCAGGTGGGAAAGCCAGTGAGCGACGAGGCTGGGCTCAGTGGCCCAGGGCGCATACTACTAAGGCTTGGCAGTCAAGTGAGAAACCTTTTCTCTCTCTCTCTTTTTTTTTTTTTTTTTTACCTTTTCTCTTTTTACTCGTGCTGTCGTGGGAAGCCTGTTGCTCTTTGTATCACTGTGACCTCTAGTCTTCCAGCGCCCCACCCTATACCCCTAGTTCATCAGCTCCTTTGTGGCATCCCCTGCTTCCCTAGCCAGCCTCAGTTCCATGGCTAGTCATTCAGCCACATGCTTGCTACAGTCCTGGCATTCCTTAATCTCCCTACTGACCCTAACTCCCAATCTTCATACTGATAGAACTGCCTTGAGGAGGTGGCCTTGCTTTTCTGGTTTTACTTTTAGTACTTAGAGTAATTTGCTATAGCCATTGTCTAAAATGAGGCAGATTTTTATCCGGGTGACCTCAGTGGGCTTAAGCCTGTTTTGGGCTAGGCTGGGTTCCTGAAATTACTTCGGCTTTGTTCTTGATCAGAAAATATAAGTGATACCTCAATAATACTGTCAGATTTGTTTGTAGAGTACAGTTTTGATGAGCAATTGTGAAAAATTGTCCAAATGACATAGAAAAATGTATTCAAGTAGGTCTGACTTGGGAATTGAATTTACCACCGAATGGATTTTGTATCTCTTTCTATGACATAGCTTTGGCTATGGTCAAAAGTCAATTAAAACTTTTGATTCACTCTGCTTATTTCGCTTCTAAGTATAATTACATCAAACCAAACATTTGGAGGTCAAATCCTTGTTATAGAACTACTGATAGACAAAACAACATGAATGAATCTCAAAACGATGATGCTGAGCAAAAGAAACCAGAGAAAGGGAAGTACCATACTCTATGCTTCCATTTATATATGATTCTAGAAAATGCAAACTAATCTACAGGGACTGAAAGCAGATTGGAAGGGAAGGGAGGGGGACAGGTTTTGAAAGGGCACAAGGACATTTTTGGGGATGATGGAAAGTTTTACCTGGATTTTGTGTGTGTGTGTGTGTGATTGTATTGCAGGTGTATACATATGTCAAAATTCATTAAATTGGACATCTTAAATATGTGCAATTTATTATACGTCAATTATATCTCAATAAAAGTAAAAATGATTACCAAGGAAAAAAGTTTTGATTTAAGACATAGGAGTTCATTCATTCATTCATTCAGCATTTTTTAAAAAGATTTTATTTATTTACTTGACAGAGAGAGACACAGCGCGAGAGAGAACACAAGCAGGGGGGCGGGGAGAGGGAGAAGCAGGCTTCCCGCCGAGCAGGGAGCCCGATGCGGGGCTTGATCCCAGGACTCCTGGGATCATGACCTGAGCCAAAGGCAGACACTCAACCGACTGAGCCACGCGGGCGCCCCTCATTCAGCATTTTCAAACATCTTTGTACCTGGAGCTGCTGGGAACAGTGTTAAATAAGACGGACAAGCTGTCTACTCTAGAGAGGTTACATTCTGGTGGAGGGAACATATCAACAAGTAATAATAGTGAAGTGTGGTAAGTGGTAGGGACAGGGCAAGAAGGGGAAGCTTTGAAAACATTCAGCAGGATTATCTAAGCTGATTATTCGGTGGTAGATGCTTAAAGCTGTGTTGAGGATTCGGAAGCTTAGCAGGATCCCCGGCGCGAGGAGGGGCAGTGACTGACGGGGAGGTCCATGCATTTGCCAGTTTAAAGCTATGCTGCTCACATTAGTCTTCTCGTACGTTTCCCAATAGTATGACTCTTTCAACTGGTTGTGAAAATGTTTGAGAATAACAAGATCTCTTGTTCTAGACCAGGTTCGTTTTTTTCAGAGCAGCATTTTTAATGCAAAGTGTTTCTTGTTGGGGACGCATCAGCTTTCCAGACTGTAGTATAGACAGAGGACAAGCGCTCTTTTGTTCTCAAAAGTTCTGTTTTCAAGTATTTTGTACCCGCTCATGGGACTATGTCTGCGCCTTTGCTAGGGGTACTGCAGCTGGATTGTGTAGTGGAACCAGGTCCAGAAAAAGAATTGCTAAAGAATGCAAGTAAACAGGATGTCAGATGTTATCCTTAGCCTATTTCCCTAAACATAGCGTTTTGGCTGCAAAGTAAAATGCCATTCTTCTAGCTTCTGCTTATACACGGTGATGGCTGACAGCAGGCGTGGTCTTCGTGTGCTTGGCACATTATCACCAGGCAATCAAGGTGTTCTTGGAGGAATGATCATGACACACCAGCTCTGTGAGACAGGATGAGGGCATCCGGCCATTTCTCGGAAGAATTTTCTCAGCCTACCTTCCCCACGAGGCTCAGATCTGTCTGACCTAAGAGCCAGTTGGCATCTTCCTCCTGACAGAAGCCAGGTTTTCACTGGGGCTAGACTATTTATCGACAGTGTTTTCCCAGACTGGCCCATGAGTGTCTCATTTCCAAGGTCCCCTCTGTTTTCCAAGAGCACTTGCTTCCTTCTCTCTCCTCCCTCCCCAGCATCCTCCTCACTTCCTTCCTTTACAGCTTCTTGCACTGTTGGGGTTTTTTTTGGGGGGGGTGGTGTTTGTGTGTGTTTCTTCTTCTTCTTTTTTTAACCCTCATGAATTTGTTTTGCAGGTTTGGAAAAAGAAACCCAGCATTATCCAAGGATTTTTATTCCTTCTATTTCTTCATCTTTTAAGTGTGATCTCTGTGGCTTTAAGATCCCGTAATTCGAGTGGGTTCCACCATTATCTAAGAAAAGTTGTCGAAACGCTTTGCTCTGCAAGCCACAGAAGAGAACTTATAAAAACGGAAGGCAGTAGCAGATGCAATTACGGATGTGGCTTAGTCCTTGCAGCTGCCCCAGGGAGCTGTGCGGTCCTCAGTGATGAATCCAGAGGAGCGAATCGTGACATGGCTTATATCCTTGGGAGTTTTAGATTCCCCCAAAAAGACCGTCTGTGACCCGGAGGAGTTCTTGAAGTCCTCACTGAAGAATGGGGTAGTGCTGTGCAAACTGATCAACAGACTTAGGCCGGGCTCTCTAGAAAAGGTAAGGGAAATGGGCAGTCTCTTTGAGATTGCTCACCACCAGAGAGCAGCAATAATGTAACCCTTGACATGTTCTGTTGCCCAGGCCATGGGACTCGCCCCCTTGAATCTCTTCCTAAGAGTTTGGCCTTCTCTCATTGTTTTTGTTGTTTGAGAAACTCAGAAAATGAAACGTTATCCTCTCGCAGTTGGGCCCCCAAAGATAGTAAAACCGTGATACACCGTTGGTGCCAGGGGACAAGGAGAAAACACCCATATCGTTTGCTCCATCCAGAGATACGTGTTCTACCTCCCCATGTACCAAGGGCATATTTTGAACTTGGGGTATATATGAGTCTGTGTAATAATGGGATGATTTATGACAGATATTGATGGTTTTTTTTTTAAAGATTTTATTTATTTATTTGAGAGAGAGAGAATGGAAGAGAGAGAGCATGAGAAGGGGGAGGGTCAGAGGGTAAAGCAGACTCCCCGCTGAGCAGGGAGCCCGATGCGGGACTTGATCCCGGGACTCCGGGATCATGACCTGAGCCGAAGGCAGTCGCTTAAGCAACTGAGCCACCCAGGCGCCCCTATTGATGGTATTTATTGACAGTTTGGCTAGAATCAATGTTGATTTTCTGCTCAAAGAAATAAAATATCCTTTGAAACAGAGGCAACCAGGAGAAATAATCCAAAATGTCAGAGAAGGTTTGCTAAAACAATAGAAACCAGATATGTGTTTTGAATGCGACATGTGTTCAAAGTGAAACTAACCTTACCCTCTTTTAAAAAGCCAAAAGTTTTAATGTTGGAAAGCCATGGTCACGAGGATGGGTAATTTCTAAAGTAGGCACTTTAAGTAAGTTTAAAGGTTGAATCCTACAGCTGTTAAGGTTAGCAGGGGACGTGACCGTGAGCATAACGTGAATTCTTTTGCCTCCTTGAACCAGTTTGTATTTTTATCAAGCAAAGTGATTTTCTTATAAGTTTCCTTAAACTTGAAAAAAAGAAAAACAGTACTAAAGCACAGCATACAGAACTGTTCCCAAATGTAGCAAACAGTAAATGGGAGAACAGGATTTTAATAAATTATCATGGGGGAGGAGGGAGCAAAGTAATAGATTAAAAGCAAGAACCAAAGCTCAAAAAACAGTCTGGATCCAATTCACTACCCCCACACTTTGGCAGAAGGCTAACAAAGGGTTTGTCAGTAGATTTAGATGGTTTGGGACTGAAAGTTTGGTGACATTTCAAAGAGACCGACCGTTTAGACTGTTACATCACTTCCTCCAGTGGTTATTTCTCTTCCTGGATTGATAGCAATGTGGCCCCTGCCTTAGAAAGCCTACCTATCTAGTTATCAGAACATGAGGACTATGGTATGCTTGGCATGGGATGACAGTGTCCAAGTGACCTCTGACTGTGTTTCTCTAGTACTGTTCGGAGCCCCAAACGGAAGCTGATTGCCTCAGCAACATCAGTGACTTCCTGAAAGGATGTGCGACACTTCAAGTGCAGGTAAGCCTGCCCAGGGTGCCTCGCCCCACTGGTGAGCTGGTGAGGATGGTGCTGTACTGCAAGTCCTCGGTTGATCTTGACTGTCATACCGGGGTAGCATTGTATGGAAACCATGGTTAAGATTGGTGGTCTCCAGGGGTGGCTTGCTAGTTTGTCTTCTCCAGAAACCAGTGCCAAAAGCAAACCAAACCAAACCAAATCAAAACTCAGTATAGGATTTATTCTTTTAATACAGCATCCGAGCCCTGAAAACAGGCTTTTGGTGACAGAGGTTGTATAGGGTGCTTCCCTGCTAGGGGGAACTGGCTGCTCTAGGGGGTCACTGTAACCCCCCTGAGTTGGGAAGAGAGGAAAGCATATTGTCACTTTTTCCCATTAACACTATGTATTTATTTTTATTTTAAAGATTTTATTTATTTATTTGACAAAGAGAGACACAGCGAGAGAGGGAACACAAGCAGGGGGA